ACTTTAATTCAGCGTTTTTACTTTTACGCTGATTATGCCTTGATGAGTTAATTGAATTGGAARAGTTGAATCCCTCATATCTCCGGTCACGGAGCATTATAGCTTATTCGGYCAAGGCCTTTACGATGCCTTTCTGAAGACCGCGGATTTACCGCGGCGAAACCTTTCTCGACTGGAATAATCATGATAAAGATACAACCGAGGGCAGTGGGGCAAAGAGAAAGTATAAACCGTAACTGATCTTCTTACTGTCTATTTCAGTATCCTGCCCACAAATTCCCTTTCTTTCTTTCTTAGTTTCAGTTTGGGCTGTTATGTTTGTTTCCTTTCTTTTCCCAGTTTCCCCCTTAATTATTTCATATTTATTTGGCTAGAAAATTTACAAAAAAAAAAAAACAGTCATAATCATCATGGTGGTGATGGGGATGGTAGTGGTAGTGCGTGTGGAGGGAACCTCACGGAAGAGCCCCGTACGAGGAGTGGCGGTTGTAAAATATGTTTTATTAAATATAAAATCCTGATCCCCCCTCCTCCCCACCCCCTCCCCHCTTGGCTCAATTCAAGCAGAAAGAGAGTTCTCCTTGGTCTAGTCGTATACTATAGACTAAGGCCGGTAACCGATCGAAAGCGTGTTTCATCTTGATCAATAAAGTCCACTTAACCTCAAGAAGTGCTTGACCTTAGTTGATTATAATCTATTCAGAGAAAAAACTTTCTAAGGAATTGGMGGATCCTGCGAATGCAGCGCGGGACTGTGGATTTATCCACTTTTTTTCTGATCCGGACTTTGCAACWGTCAAATTATTTGYAGATTCGGGACAATTTTTTTGCGGATCCCAAATAAATGTTYCGCATCACTTCTATTTATTTTTCATATTCGTATTTATTATTTTAAAACTACTTTATTGTAAAAGGGCATGGAGGTTTCAGGATGCGCTATATGAATACTCTGCCATCATCATCATCATCAACATCATCATCGTCATCATCATCATCATCATCTTGGTACCTTGATCTTATCAACACACCCTTTGCTCTTTAAACAACCAAAACTTCCATCTGGAAGTTTTCCGGTACGTCGCGCTATCCGGTTGAATTTCCGCACTTTTCTTCAATCTGATTTGATGARGAAGCAAAAAGTTGTTAGAAAAGGATATTATCTAGTTATTGTTCCTTTTTCAGGATCCGGCAATCGTAATGAATTTCTTAGGCTCCTTGAAGAAAAAACAAATTTAGCGTGAACAAGTGATGGTGGTTAGTCAGCAATGAACTGGTTACGTTTCGTGCAGGCGCGGCTTGGAGTCAATCAAGAATAGCACGAAGATATGTGTCATGCATTGACTGTTATCCCGACCCTCCCGACCCTCCCAGCCCCTATATTCCCCTTTGAACCAATTCAAATGAAATTTGGAATTCGTTTGGTTTCACTATTAGGCTAATTATAATTTATTGGTGGTTTTCAACCATTCCTAAGAAGACCAAAAGACAAAGACATGGTGGCCATGCTAGTGGACAGGCGCAGTAGGACCTAAAGTTGCCCTGTCCACTCTGTCCAGTATGAAAGAAACTATTAGGTGCACGCAATATATCCGTGAAACAAAACCAATCATGTATTGTCTAATAGATTTGAATTAATCTATTTTAAGGAAATATTTTACTCGAAATTACTTTTCAYACACACACGTACTTGTGAAAAGTCGGAGGACCCGTCTGTTTTTCATATTCGACACAGAGAGAAAAACAATTAAAGGTAAGTATTATTGAAATAAGCAATTACGAAATAATCTGCTAATCCTATTACGTTTATTGGATAATTGTGATGGTACAAGTAAGGATAATTGGATAATYATTAATTATTATTATTCGCTAATCAATACAACCAATACAAATTTAACGGCTGCTGAGGAGAAATAGCCTTATGTATCACCACAGCCATGCGCATCATCACGTGATTGTTTCCTAATATTTTGACCCTTCAGACTCGTTTTCACGTCCTTTGACCTGCGCAGTAAGATAGAGATGTCATTTCCCGCGCATTTTGCTTTTGGCCACTTAAGASCCGTCATGATGAAGAGGATAGACGCGACGATAGACACAAGAAGAAAATAGGCTTTTGCCCATGTGACCTCGTATCTCCTTCAGCCAGAGCTTTGTCATCGTTGATCTATGGCTTCCAATAGTATCGCCGCAATCTTGAGTAGCGTTCAAGCTGAGAGCGCTACTTGGCACTTAGCCCAAGGTAGCTTATGTTGATTTAAGAAGTGACAGTTCTTATACCCCTGACTGTGACTGTAGAAAAGAGGGCCGCGAAAAATCGCCGGTCATTGTTTTTCTTCTTGTCCAAGTCTCCGCCACCTTGATAACTCACCAGTGAAATCATTACGTCAGAACATAAGAACTTTTCCTCAAGTACCATTGATAGGCCAGACCTTTGGAAACGCCGTATTTGGAAAGCAATTTGTATAAAGTGTTTTTTAACCGTTTATCGATTGTTTCTAGAGCGTTCTAAGATACAATCGGTTGTTCCAAGTAGGGCAATCTTCTTCCGCAGTAAAAACTCAGCATTATCTTCTTTGTTGATTTTGTGTCCCAATTTTCCATTCTTCTATAGAAACAGCTCGTGTTTATTTGATTTGTTATGGTAAATTCCGTCGGGGATTGATAGAAATCAACCTCTTGAACTCTTTCTTGAAAGCTTTTTTTGTGTGTTTTTGCCGCCGTAACCTTTTGGTTGGTGATAAGTACTAGTGCAGATGTATAATCGTCAAATCGCAAAATCCGCGCGCTTCGCAACAACACTAAACAGTAAATCCTTCGCGTCGAAACAAACTCRGTTTTTCTATTGCCTCTCCTAGCTCATGCCAAAAGAAAGTTAACTTATACTTAAAGGAATCCAAAGCCTAGGAGACCGCTTTAAAATAACAATTTTAAAAAAACCACGGGGGAAGGTCCTCAGCGAGGGAGCCCCAACCGCGATGGCGAGTTTAGCGATTTTTTTCTCGCAGTCCTCTTCATTCGACCGGCTTGGAGCTTTTGCATAATAAATTTGGYTTTCGAAAGAGCCCTACAGCAATATTTCTGGAATTGCGGTATGTACGAGGAAATTTTGCTGCACGCAGTGCCATGCACTACTGAAATGTTCGATGCAGTAATGAACGAAAAAAGCACCAAGCCATCGACCCCTAGGAATATACATCAACGCTTACCAATTTACTTTGTTTGATTCTTTCAAATGTGTCCGAGTGTCACCAATTCAACGTAATTAAACTAATTATCTCACTGTTCTTATCGGAGTGCCAAGAATGGCTCGAAGTGACCTTCTAGGAAGATCAAAGGCAGTATACCGCTGGTGGACCAGAAGCCTTTGCGGGCAGCCTGGTGCTTCCCTTCATGAAAGTTGAGCCGAACTTTCTTTCTATCTGGTTGCGTCGGTTTGGTCTTCTCCGGTTACAACTTAGCATTTTCTTGCTTTCAAAATCAAACCCGAGGGGCAGTGTTTATTCGTTCAGGTACAGAAATGAGGGTCGCAAAGTGGAATCTGTCAAATTGTCCATTCGGGCTTTCCATATTGGTTCAATCTGACATGTTGGTGGATGGATTCTTTTGCAGGCATTATTGTACCTAAGCTCGATGGGATGTAAGACGAGTCAACTTGAAGCGCGAGTTTTGATTGCAAGCGGTGAATGGTGAATTAGCGTAAGTTGAGCACTTTATTCACATCATTACTGCATAARAGGATAGACACTGATATTTACTCTAGTTTTTGAGTGCCTCCGTCCGTGACTGACCAACACGTGTGAACTCACTTCGCATCACTCCTCCCCTCGTTTCTCGTCATGCACAACGATAAGCTCTCTTTTACGACTTTATTTCCCTCTGCCGCTTTTATGGCAGCTTCTTAGTGCATTATATATTGCTGTGTGACGTTAGACGGCGCTAATAACCTCTCGTAACCGTAGATGTTATCCGCCATTGATTTTGACAGTGGCACTGGAAGATGAACAGTTCTGCCACCCGTTGGAGCGTCTCGACAGTTTTCTATAGTTTCTGCTCAGTTCGACGAACACAGGCTGAGAAAAAATGCTTTTTACCCGCTAAAGTCAAGCTGAATATGCAATTTGTTGCTTGTGGCATGTGTTTTTATTCGCTAGAGAAGCTTTWTTCGTGTCTAAAGGTTTCGAAAGTTTGCAGACGATCGATGCTAGTCGTTGTCTTGTTGTACCGAACTATAGTCCACCATTCAAACTTCGAAAATCACAAAATATAAGCCGCATGTAGAACCTTTAGGCGCTTCTTCCTACATGTTTTGACTGCGGGCTACTTTGTGCTGTTCTTTTTATTTGTTGATAAATTAATATAGAAAAYGAACCCCTGTTAGTTAACGCAGCAGAAGATAAATTTTCCGTCACACTTTCGACTAATTTCACAGCACTTTTGTTGTTTTTCCGCCAGAGGAAATTTGCACACCGTTTTGAAACCTCGACTTTTCTTTTGTTTTCATTCTATATCTCAGCACTTTGAACAACAATGATTCCTTTTGTTTTCCTCCGTTGATTCCGGACTTGTTGTTCTAAGGCAGCCTTGTTCAAACATTGCTTTTATTTCTACTTATTCTCGGACAGTTTTGATGTCCGGATGTTGCAGAAGCACGGAAGATTTGTGTGCGTTTTGAGAGCACACACGGGATGGCTAGCTAGAGCTACAGCCGGAAATCACAAAAGATGCTATCGGGATTCCTCAAAGTATCTCTTCATTTACCGAGCCCAAATTGATGCCCGACTTAGCTTTATAATGGCTCTAATCACTCTGCCAAACTTAGATAATTTTAAGTATATATACTAAAACTTTGCTAAGTGCGAAAACTCTTCGCGACTTCCTTTTTCAACTTCCCTTCGGTAAAAAAAACTTATTCTTAGGAGTTATTATCTCGAATCATTAAGTTTTAATTTGCTTTTGGCGTCGTTGAATGCTTTTGAAAGGAGAAAAATTAGGAAGTTCTGGACAGAAAAAGAAATATTTGCTCGTCTTGTTTGTTTTTTGGAGTAAATGCAAGCAATGTCTCGATTTCTTCAGTCAACCCCAGTTATACATCGGGTCTCGTTGATCCTTTCTGTACCTAAACACAGACAAGGTTATAATCCTTTACTTGTTTTTCTCTAATCCCCTGACAGTCAAAGAACGAGTCCAAAAGCCTTCTCTCTCTCTCTCTCCGCGTGTTGCATTTAGAACAAAGAGAAATTTTAGCTCGACTAGTACCTGCACGATCGATATGGGAGGCGTGTTATGAGCCAACCACAAATCACCGTAGTTCGAATTTAAAGCTAAAAAGGATCATTTATCGTTAGAGTATTGGAGGAAGCAAGTTTCATCATGGCTGTCCCGTTTAGAATGTAGGTACTATCTTATTTAAATAATTCTCTTCTTTGAACATAGTCAGCTTTGACAAGTTTACTCTTTCAATCAACATCATAATAGCTGGCCGGATGCTCGCGAATCAAGGTTCGAAAAGATTTATTCACTAAAGGCTGTTAAAAAGATCCGAAATCTTCTATTCAGTCCTTAAGGCTAAGCCGTAAGGAAGTAAAAAATGATGATGTTTGCCCTTTGTTCTAGTTAATTGGTCGAAAAGAAGGTCTTTTGAATGGGGATGACTATAAGTTAATAAATACGATCAAATTTGTTGCTAATTATGGAATCGATGTAAATTGTTTCAATGGCAAACTTTCTGCAGAGTAAATAGTATATATCAGTTTAGATAAACTCGAGGAAAATGTTTTTATTTTAAAAGTCTAGCCCGATGAAGTTTATTCAGTTTGACACATGATGTGTTTTGTTTTATCTTGGAGGGCTAAATACTGTCTCCCAATGTGCCAGAAGTTATTTTAAAATCACCGTAAAGTGGAAGCGAACTTGGTTCATTGTCAAGAACTSAATGAGGTTGAATATCTTTAGCGTTCGACATTAAAAGGCTAAAACCTCTAAAGAACCGAAAAGATGGTCGACTTTGTTGATTTTTTGGTTTTGTATTAAGAAAAAATTAAATAACATACTTAATGATAAGTCAGCTGCTGGCTGCTAATTTATGCAAAGCAAAMTAGGCTGGTGAGATGTGTGAAAAACAGACCAAGACTACATACTTCATTTGATTGGAAAAAGAAAAGAGATCAAACATGACCAAAAAGATGTTTTATAGGCCAAGTTGTGCTTGGCAGGCTCGTCTCTTACAAATGGTGAGGTTTCCAATTTTACAAAAGTAATAATTGCTTGTTTTAACTTGTCTTTGTGTTCAATAAGTCTGCATTACAAAGAGTCTTTTTAATARTTTTGCTTGCACCATAAGAGAATAAGATTTTCATATATATTTTCAACTTTTTTATACTCTTGCCATGGTCTGCCTAAGATTTTTTCCACAAAACTATGATAACATGATAAAATGTTTGTTGAATTTATCTAAATAGTTAAGTTTGTGGGGTATCATGCATGAAAAGCAAATTGTTTTAAATAGCAAGCTGTTTTAAACAGTAATAATTATTATGAATTCAATGGCGYAAAAAAGATTAGTGAAAATGAAAAAATCACACAAAATCCTTTCTTGTCCAAATACTCAATACCTAAAAAAGGACTTTYGAAATACAGTTTTATAGTTTTCAAAAATTCAATTACAAACATTTAATATCTTACAACATTTCTATGAAGGTAGCTGTTTGAAAATCTTTTGTTTGTAACGAAAGCACTACTGGTAAACTTTTTGGTAACTGGTAGATATGCTGTTTTCGAACCTTTACAAACCCATTGACAAAACTTTAACAATGGGTCTGTCACCAGCATCTTTAAGTTTTTTTTAAAAGCCATTTTTATAATTTATAAATTGAATTTAAAATCATAATGGAGCTTTCTAAACGGATATTTGGTGACAAGAAGTGAAGAGTTTGTGCTTGCCATGAGATAACAGAAATTTTCAATGAAGTGCTAGTCATGTACTGCTCATTTTGATTCCATTTTTCATCATTTATCTCATTCTAAACAGCCTTGATCCTAGTTAAGGTTATRAAATTCAAGGAAGTAAACCAGCTTGCCTGTTTTACATATGTGTTGGACATCAACTCAAACAACACKGCCATCTCAATCCACCTGCACTGAATCTCTTTCTTGATCTTCAAAGAGCATTTCATTTGATGATATCACACTCTTCAGCATCAGCTCTTCTCGTTCATGTATCTTCATCTCTTCATGGAAGCCCTTTTTGATTTCTCRCTTTTGATGTGGGTCTTATTTATATGCCAAAGAAATGATAGAATGAAAGCTTATATTGGCTTGTAAAGGTTTTACCATATATCATGTATCAGATGTCTTAGAAAGAAGAGCTTTCCATATCACTTCTCTTCAAGCTCTTAATATAATCAGACTACTATACCAAAGCATAGTATTTCTTTCATAATTTTTACTAAAGTGCTAACAGCAATGACAAATAATCTGTGACATACAACTTATAGCTTTTGTTATTCCAATTATACTTCTTTTTAACACATCTCTCTTGTTCAATTCTAATCATATTATTGATGGCTAAAATCCTTTTTTTTTTTAATTTTTTTTAATGTTTTGTTTTGCTGTTGCTGTAACTATCATTATCGTTGAAAATCAAAAATTAATTCTAATCCACAACTGATTGTTCATTTTCTTATTTTAGTCTATTTAAAAAAGAAACCTTTTATTACAAAGTTTTATCTGAACATACACACACACACAAAGGGATCAGTCRGTGGCGTTTCTCCTATCACTTTGTATTCTCCCCCTCGTGAACTCCATGATTCCCATCTGTAGTGGATAYATATCTTGCAGTATTCATTAGCCCTTCATGCACAAAGCTTTTCACTTACAAAACATTCTGATTTCATGAATAAGAAAACAAAAATTGAATGAGTTTACAATCAAGTGTGAAGAAGGATGATAATACAATAGAAGCTTTTCTTATCACAAAGACATCTTTTCTAAACCCCTTAAGGTGATTATGAACAGGAGCTAGACATCTTTCCCTGATACAGAGGAATAGAAACAACCTCTGCTTACAGACTACATCTTTGCTGATTAAACACTCTTAAATTAAGCCTTTCTGGACTTAGTATATACAGTTGTCTTTCTCTTGAAATACTCTGTGTTTATTCTGTTGGGCATCTATTATGCTGGTTTAATTGCATATATGCATAATAAATTGTTGAAGAATCRTTGTACTGATATTTTTTGTCCACTTTTACATATATTCTGTCAAATAAAGAGTTTTTGCTAAAAAAAATTGTAAAAAGGTAATTACATTTCAAAATCCAAACCCTTTTAAAAACACTATCTTGATTTTGTAGCTAATRAATCTTAGATAAAGAGGGCTGAGCGAAGTGTCCATTGAATTTGCTTTATGRAATAAAGATTTTAAAATTATGTTTTAATACTCATATCCAAAGGCAAGGGGTTTAACAAAAAACCTCTCAAAAATAAATTTTATATGTTTTCCTTAAGCCATGAATGGCTTCTAATGAATGTTTCTCATAAGTGAAAGGCATTTTTTTCTTTTTTGTTTTTGTTTTGTTTGATTCCCAATAGAACATGGCTACAGAGCAAGGGCAATCTGACTCCAACAGCAGTCTGGAGGGCATTCCAGTAAGTAGATTTYCAAGTTTTTCTTTCCAATGACAGAAAGAACACCAAGAAAGATAATCTTATAATTATTCTTGAACATTTCTAAATTATGTTGATTGAACCACTAGAAAACTAGGATAATTTTTGGTTATGAATGATTAAAATTCTAAGCTACTTAAATTCAGATCCTTAACTTTGTTCTAAAACCTTGCTTTGAGCAGATAAGCTTAGTAAAGATTTGCCATAATTTACCTGTTCAAATCATTTTTTCTATTAAATCATTGCAGAGCAAAAAACAAACAAATGTATTGGGTAAAGACTCAAAAAAGAATTATTCAATAACATTTATTAAATCTTTCCTTAAAAAATAATAATCCTTCTGTCCACTTACTGTTATTGCTTTAAAAATGCCAATAATTATTGATAACTGTTTTTACCTTACATTAAATTAGCACGAAAATAACATAGTTTAAAATTCTGACACTTCCTAAAAAGACCTGAAATATTAATAAAAATATAATTTAAGTTTTATTACTTTCCAATTTTGATAATTATACTTGATTTATTGTTTCCACATTGCTTGTTATTTTGAAGTCATAATTAGGCTTTTGAAGATAGCGTGTATACTAGCCAAAGAAACGCTAATTAAAAGTGTTGCACTTTCTGTGATAAACCTTCCATCTGAGTAAATATTGATCCAGAGTATCACATAACTGGCTTTTTTTGTTTATTTTATTTGTATCCTGCATGAAGAAGCTGATGTTTTTCTAATCATAAAATCTGTTACCCCTTACAAGTACATTTTAAATGTTTAAACTCATAATAAACTAGCTGAGGAAAGAGGAAGCAGTTATTGCTCTTAAGAATATGGTCACTTGAAGGTCRTCCATGGAAGAAAAAAAACAACTTCACACACTTTGAAGCTCAAACCAAACAGCGTCGACAGTTTGTCAATATTTAAATCTGGGGATCAAGTTGGTGGCTGTTTTTATTGATTCTCTTTTCATGGGTAGTCTTTGTGGTTGGACTGGCTGTTTGGTTTGTGTTGCTGTGTGTGAACAGAAGTTGTGATCTTGATAGGATTCTGTAAGCAGCAGTGCAGTGATTCTTTACCTAATCTTGATAGAGCTAAACCATCACACAAATTAATTCTTCATCATCCTAATTTCATCTTTCTGACTTGCAGGTAAAAAGAGCTCGAAAAGAAAATTCTGAGGATAAAGAAAGGTAAAAAAAAGTTTGATTACTGATTTTATTTTTATGCAGTTTTCATTTGAAAAAAGTCAAATTCTATTTTCCATTAGAAAGTGAAAGCTTTTAATTTTAAGGCTTTTAGCCTATTTTGTTAAACTATTTTTATATTTATTATGTTTATCCTCTAGTATTGAGGGAAATACTTTTTATCAGATATAAAGGTTTAAAAAATATATTATAAAACATAACTTAGCTTTTTGCCCAGACTCTTTATTATTTGCATTTGTTCTGTTCATTCGGTATCAGGAATTAATATGGCTTGCATTAATGACACTGATTCTATTTTTGTCTACAATATTTCATTCAACCTGAATGGAATATCAGATTCATTTATCTTGTATCCATGTCACGTATATATATGTAATGTAGGCTAGATATAACAGAATTATTATTGTTAATATTATATTAGAATTAGRGTTGATAATTTGCTGGTATAGGCCCAATACTGGTTACAGTGGTCATCGTGTGGCTAATTTTTGTGGTTTATTRGTGGAGTTTTGGTAAAATTCAACGTAATTTCCCCCACGGCTCTATCCTTTAGACCCTCTTATTAATTTGTTTACTTGAATATTTGCCAGTAGCAAATAACAATACAAAGAAAATTTACAGCAATTTTAAATTATTAACTTTGCCAGAGGCAAGTCATAATTTTATCATAGTAACTCTTTTTTAATTTAGAAGAAAAACATCTAAAATGTGTAACAGCAGTTTTAGATTGATCAAAGAATGGGTAGCGTAGGTGATGCTATTTTAATGTTTCTACTGTATGATGTATTTTTTTTGGAAAAAGAATTTAATGGTGTTTTTTGATGCCTTTTTAGCAGAGTTATTCATTGGTGTTTCATGGCGTTAATTCTATTTTTGATGTTTATTACTATTGTTGTTTGTTGTGTTTTTGCGTTTATTGAAGGTCTTGTACATTTTTCAATTTTTTGAGTGTTGATGATGTTAGTGTTGGCACTGTGGTATTTTTGTATATTGTAGGTGTTTTTCCTCAAGKTTTTGCTACTGAATTTAAACTTATTAGTTATGACATTGACATTGACGTTATGGCATTAGAACCATGATTATACATGGAAAATCCTCTCAAACTTACCTCTTCAATATAATCTTAAATGTAGGGTATATTGTTTAGTATTGCATCAGAATCTTGCACTATATACCACGGTAATCATAAAAATCAACTGACTTGATTGATTGATCAAAATTGTAAATATTTGTTTTTAAAAATGATTTATATTTCCTATGATTACTTAAAATTCATGTTTTTATAATTGCTTTTACCTGTATGACAGCAAGCATAATGTTGTCTGCTTCATTAGCAATTCTYATTYTGGCTTGRAAAGTTCTTAATAACTAAACTTAAGGTGAGAAAAGACACTAAGTAMSCCAAGAAAAGTCTTGCGAGAATTTTACATCATTRCTGAAATTTRAAAAAGGTTTTAGATGTCTAGCTGAGAAAGGTACAGTGATTCCCCTTGGATAATTAYTGATTGATGTAGAATTATAATTTTTGGAGGTGAGGTTTTGTCTGAAGTTGAATATTCTGTTTATAGGTAGGGTAGTGAAGCTCGGTACCTAAAGCTCTATTCATTCTGTAAGATTTACAGAAAATTAATAGCTTTTAGACACAATGATTAAATGGTACYCATTAAATATATATTACTTCTTCCAAATTTATTTCTTCTTCCAAATATATTTGATGCMAAAACAAATACACTGCTTAAATTATGCCTCAAATGTTATGACTGTTAGACTTATGGTTTACTTGAACGAATGTATGTATCTTAAACATCTTTGAACGATTCCAAGTATGCTGTATAATTTGCTCCTATATTGTATGATATCAAGAGAAATTTGGTGCTGTTCTATTTAGTCAAACCAGTCAATAGAGTCCCARTACCATCTAGACCTTCATATTGCATTCATATTTTTCTCTAAATAKACCTTTCCCGAATTTGCTTGGATGACCAYGAAACAATGGTTTGAAGTAGAGACTGRACTTGATTCTTTTACTCATCAAGTCCAACCTCAACTTGAAACCTTTTTTTTTGTGAACAGTCAAGCAAATTCRGGAAATATCTATTTAGTGCCTAATACATAGAGGCTTTGCACCCTCTCGTGCTGGCACCCATAACACAGCCTGGGCTGCCTGTGATTAGATGACAGAACAATAAATCCCTTTGCTCTTGGGAATTGAATTCTTTCTTACATGTATGTGAAACAAGTGAATTCTTTCTTATGTGAAACGATTGTATTGTTCCTGGCATCTAACATGGCTGCCGTCACGTGATGGTGCCTAACCTCTTTACAGAGCTTATTTACTGGGTAGGAGGTCCAGATAGGGAAAAACTACTGTATGGCTGAGGTGTTGAATATACAGTCCAATGCTCTTAGGCTGAGGTCCATTTTCAAGGCTGAGGGCAC